GACCTCCAGGACAGCAGGGGTCCTTACACATGGGCAAAGTTAGCTTATGCTCAGCCCTGCTCTCCATGTTAGAGATTCTTGTTTAAAATCTGTGTGTAAATATCGTGACACACTGGCCCAAGCCAAACTGAGACCTATCCAGATACGAATACCAAACCAGGAGCTTGTGTTGTGGAAGTGACTAGTGCTGACTGCACCTTTTTATCATTCTGTCAAACAGATGTCTTTGCTTTCTTCTTTTTCATCAACTTTGCAGCTGACAACGTGGATTAAGCATTCTGCAGTTGTAATGTGAAAAAGCAGAACAATTTCTAGCATCTCAAACTTGATGAAGAGAGACTGGAAACTCAACAAATTGCTCTGATGTTCTGCTGTTGTCATTATTTATCCAGCAATATCCTCCATTAGAAGTATCGCAGGTTGCGTTTCATGGGTTTGATCATAATTTCACTTGCGGTGTGAACCTATCCTTCACTATTTTCTTCCCTCCTCCCTGTGGTCACTTGTTAAATAATCTCTCTCTCTGAGTCTGTTTCTCCATCTCACAGTTTTTGTTTGCTTGCCTCTCACCTCCTGGGACACCCAGAGACAGACAGCCTTGCCAGATTCATTTTCTGATCAAAGCTGTTTGATTTGGTCAATTTTGCCACATTGGAGACGTTCTCTATTACGGAGATAAATAGCCTCGGGCTAACTGTCAACGAAAACTTGTAAGCTAATAAATTATTCCAATTTCTTCCAGCTGGATTTCTCCTGGGAGTCGGCCTCTAGGAAATACACTTTTTGATTAGTAAATTTCTGTCCATGCGCGTGTGCAAGGCGTGCACATTGTGTGTGTACGCCCGGAAATTCGGATGTGTCGTTTCTGATTAGCTGGCCTGGCTTCTGTAGTGGAGGGGGGCTGTCAGTAGTAGGGGGGCCTCTAATGCATTATGCATTGACAAGGCTTTGGATGCTGCCACCTTCGCTGGCACGCCTGGGAGAAGAGTCAGAGCTGAGCTCACCTGAGGGGCTGCCGCTCTGTGATCCCCTCCCTCCATCTCGCTCCTAAGAGAGGAGAAACTTTGACAGTACAGCCAGCCTCTCCATTTCCCTCTACACTACTCCAGTTCCTGACAGCCCCTCAGGTGTGTCTCTGCAACTCTGACTGACACACACAAACATCCACATCCAAGGCAAATCCACACAGCTAGACTTTTCTCCCCCTGGCCTGGAAATGGACCGATGGGCAGAGAAAGTGTGTCATCAGCAGAAACAGACAGAGTGAGAGGACATGACTGATAGGCTGAGGGGGGGAAAATTGATCGGCTTCACGTCTCCAAGCCAGGCGGTCTGTCCTTCTTCCATCGCTCCATCCCTCTAGGCTCCCCCTTCCCCCTTCCTCCTCGCACTCTCCTCCCTTGGCCTGTCTCTCCACTCTGCTGGCTCTGGTGACTCAATAAGGCCCTGCTCGGCTGGATTCAGGCCGGAGCAGATAAATAGGTGTCCATGTGCGTACGAGCACCAAAGCCACACACACCATTCATCAACCTACCAAAACTGTCCCTAGATGATTACCTCTTCCAAGCTCCCCAAAACCAGAGGGAGGGGAGACAGCGAGGAAGAAATGGTAAATGAAACTTTTGAGGGGTCAGTGGTTTTGTACTTTGGCTATTCATCTTCTCCCTCACCTCACCGGGTTGCAGGAACACCAGGAGTGCTGCTGGGTAATTACCTCTCAGCGTGCCGCACTGCTTCATTATGTCCTGCAACTCCAATCCGCTGAAACATTTGTAATTTAAGTCTGGGAAGCTTTGCGTGGGGCATGCTGAGAGCACGATGGTTGTGTGTGAGGACGTACATGTGTGCGTGTGTGTGTGTCAGTGTGTTATATGTGCATGCATATTATTGGCTGGGATTATTTCGATGTCTAACAGGCCCGTTTTAGGAAATAAATCAAAATGTTATTCATCAGCTGCAGAGATTGCCCATTATTTTCAATGAGAGTTGGTTTTTCATATCTGGGACTGAATTAGCATCCAGAGGATAGTGATTGTGTGCAGGATATACTTTCAGAAAAATAGTGTTATTCTGACAATGTGATACTTTGCTTATCTTTTCAAACCTCTTGAACTTATTACAATTTTGCCAAATCAGGAGCCCAAATTTCATATATTTTATTAGGATTTTATAAGATAGACTGAAATAGCACACATTTATAAAGTGAAAGTGTACATAGTTTCTTAAACTGTTTTCAGATAAAATTATGAAAAGTGTGCCCCGCATTTGTATTCAGCCTCCCTGAGTCAACTCCAAGTAGAATCATTATTCACTGTAATTAGGGTTACAAGCCTTTTGGCATATGTCTCTAACAGCTTTACGCTTCTAAAAAAATAAACATTTCTGTCCGTTCTTCTTTGCAAAGTAGCTCAGGTTCTGTGAAATTGGATAGATAGCATCAGTGAACATAAATGTTCAAGTCTTGCCAAAGATTCTCAATTGAATTTTGGTCTGGACTTTGACTAGATCATACTAAAAACAATATGCTTCCTGTAAACCCCTCCTTTGTAGCTCTGGCTTTCTGTCTCAGTCCTGCAGGAACATGAATCTCTAGCCAGTCTCCAGTGTTTTGTAGCCTCTGACCAGCTTCCCTATCCCTGCTGGAGATAGACACTCCCACCGCATGTTGCTTCCACCAATATATTTTAGCGGTTTTCCTGGGTGCTGCTCATAGCATTTGCATATAGGTCAAAGGTCAGTTTCAGAAAATCTGACCAAGGCACCTTCTTCCTCATGTTTGGTTTTTCTAAATGTTTCCTTGGTTTCTTGGTGTCGTTTGTTCGCTAATGCTCTCTGAAAAACCTCTAATACCATATCAGAACAACTGTATTTACACTGAGAATAACTAGCATTTGGCTGCATTGGATTATATTTAGGCGTGTTTGGGTAATGGGGATAAATGCAAATGCATGCCACATTTTATAGAGTTTTATTGTAAAGAATTTTGAGATCTATGTAAAATTTTTCTTCCACATTAAATGTGCCACATTGTGTTGGCCATTCACATATAGTACCAGTGAAACATATTGTAGTGATTGTAAGCACAAAGTATGGAAAAGAAGCCAAAGAAGCACACTTGTCAGCACTTCTTCATGCTTGACTTCTGCAGATTTCTTAGGAGTCTCTAGGTTTCCTGTGTCTCCTGTCACGACCCTTAGCTAATCTTCCTGTGGCATCCTAAGAGCCAATCACGCACGGTTAGCTGCATCCTGACCAGGAAGAAACCTTCATCAAGCAGACAGGCCGATGACAATGCACTCGCATCACCAGCACCCCCACAGGAGCTGTCGGCCCAGGCCGAGCCCCCAGCCTCTCAGATGTGGACTCAGATGAAGGGACGGATGGGTGAGCAGGCCTTTGTTTTGACAGAACCAATGGGAATGGGGTTAAAGTCCCCCAGCGTGAGTTCTGTTCGCTGATCTTCTAAAGGCACCACTATAGAAAACACAGAGTTGTCACTCAAATAGCTTTCTATATGACACTTGTTTTATCTCTCACTTAACAAACCCCAAGTCTAGTATGGGTCTCCATAAAAAGCCTGATAGAGTATCTAAAAAGTGTTATCTTGTGTTTCACTTTGAAAAGGAAATTCAAAAACCTACAAAAACTAAAGTCCAAGGGGATCAAAAATACTTTCTGTGAATATTTGCAAAGTGCAGCTGTGATTGTAAGGAAAGTGGGGAAACTAGATTGTGGTTTTTAGAACAGTAAATTTAATAAGATCAGCTACACTGTAGGTGTAAAAAAGGCCAAACTATGTTTTTAAAAGTAAGCAACATGTGCAACATGTACATCTGAAAGACAGTGTTACTGTGCATGTACACAAAGAAAAACTGATTTCAGTCAGTGTCAGTAAATGTAATGAAAATTCACAAACTAATTTCTTAAATGCATGTGTGGCAATGCTCATATGAGCAGTGGTGGTTCTTGCATGAATGGCACCAAGGTGGCCTTCTTTTTTTTACTTAATTTTGTGACTTTTGTTTTGTAAACTGACCAACAGGAAATGGAGTGGATGGAGAGAAGACATGCAGCAAAGGTCAACAGGCAGGGACTCGAACCATATGCATTTGGGTCATGCACTTTACCCCTGCGCCACCACCACGCCTAGGTGGCCTTTTTCTTATTCACCCCTCTGACCACCACTGCAGTAATTTGGTTCAGGTCTGACCAGTCCAACTATTTTAGATTTGAATTACCGATGATAAAATTCATTGCAGATTCCTTTACAAAGTAGCTCTTTGGAGTTTTACTATAGGTTTAAAAATGAAAATAAGATATTACCTTCAGGCATTACCCAGTTAGAGTGGACAACCGAATTTTCCTACTATGCTTACACCGTGCACAACACAGAATGGTGGCCACTTGACATTGACTGTTCATGGAAATGAGAGATACAAACCCGTTTGGGGTACAACTGGCAAATAACTTTCTTTTCGAATGCTTGTGCCACCTTCTGGCTGAATGGTACTCTGGGCTGTAAACCACATTGCCCATAAGAGGAAAAAAAAAACACTACCTATAAGGGGATGATGGAAAATAATCATTTTGCTTCCTGCTTTTATATTTAGGAATTTTACTTAGTAGGCTTTAAGTGACTTAAAATTACTTCCAAAGGCCAAGACTAAAGTTATCATTCACCTTTAATTTGTTAGTTCTAACATGTAACTTCAATATAAAAATGACCATCCATCCATCCATCCATCCATCCATCCATCCATCCATCCATCCATCCATCCATCCATCCATCCATCCATCCATCCATCCGAGGCAGGGTACACCCTGGACAGGTCACCAATCCATCGCAGGGGAACACAGAGACACACAGGACAAACAGCCATGCACACACCCATTCACACCTAAGGGGAATTGAGAGAGACCAATTAACCTAACAGTCATGTTTTTGGACTGTGGAAGGAAGCCGGAGTATCCGGAGAGAACCCACGCATGCACTAGAGAATATGCAAAGAACACTGGGAGTCAAACCCAGGATCTTCTTGCAAGGCAGCAGAGCTACCAACTGCACCACCGTGCAGCCCATTGATCTTTGATGCTTAAATGCAATGTGGATACAGTATCTATGCTCCAACCTTCCATAATTTTAGATCAACCTTTTCATATTAGAGGAACAGCATGATAACCTAGGAGGAAATTAAATTAATCTCATCTTTCTGCGACTACATGTGGATGTGTCCTTAGGTAAGTCCTTAAACCCAACATAGCCTTTCAGCCACTGATTGGTATTTGTGTGCATGTGTTAGTGATGTAGCTAGTATTGTAAAAATGCTTTGAGTAGTCAGCAAGTGTAGACAAATTTAAATGCACTGTTTTAATACCATTCACACCTATCTCATAAGTTTTCTTTAGGTCAATGACTTCCAAAGAAGGCACATGATATCAGTCTATGTTGGTTTAGGACCAATGAACAGCTATAAACCTAAGGCTAAGGACCTATCGGAAATAAGCCTCTTAATTGAACTGTTATGTATTTTACTCATTATATATTAATAGTTCCTTCAATAACCCCACATACCCCCATATTACCTAATTTTCTTTCTTTTTAAATTCTAGCTTAATGTCCCCCCCTTCCATCATCCACCCCACCCCTACTAGTAGTCTGGGAGCTCCCTCTAACTAAGCAGCTCCCAGCCAAGTTCCTATTAGAGACTGCTGGCCTCTAATCTGCTAATCAGAAAACTCATTTTTTCCCCTATCCGTGAATTCCCAGCAGACCACAAGAAACACACACGCAAACACACACTTTGTGCTAGTTCACCTCCATGTTTACACAGACACACACAGCTCTGTGTTTTTCCTGTAAGAGGCGGGGTTTTACAGTAGGAAGAAGCCCCTTCAACCCAACAAACACACCTATTTCTCCTTTTCTCCCCCCAGCAGTGGAGAACAGAGAGTAAAGGGAGGGCAGGAGCAGCCAGCTGGGTTGTAGGAGTAATAAAGAAGGAGAATCAATAGGGCATGCAATGGAGCCAAGGTGCTGCCATTCATCACGCCGCCTCCCTGACTCCCATCATTCATCATGCTCAATGAGGCAGCAAATAGGAAAATGACTATTTGTATCAAACACATCTGCACTCATCCACCAAGGTATTTTATTCCCATTAACTCTCAGAGTAAAATACGCACAGACTTGTTGTTTTTTTTCGCCCCCTCCTTCCTGCAATTGTGTGTGTCGGAGTGTGTGTCGTCTTTGTGCCTCACGTTGTCTCTCTGTTTGTAAAAAACAGTGGAGAACAATTTCTGGGCCAAAGAGCACGTCTACAGTCGCGTTTGTTTGTTTCCCACTCGTTCCCTCTCAAGCATTTTTATGATTCTGCCACACCCTAATTCCCTCCCCTCTCTTCCCAGGTTTCCCACCCACCTCACCATCATCGTTAGTCTTCTGTCATTGTCGGGTTTTCGTGAATGTCTTTATTTCTGAACACTGACCACACAAAAAAAAAAACTACCATGCAAACCTTGCAGGTGGATTGTTTTTGCCTTCTTGGTTTACGATCCCGTAATAAATCTTTGTGGTGGATCGTGTTATTCCAGAGAGTCTTAATCATGCCTTTGCTCTATAAATTACCCATGCCAGGTAAGATGGAGGTACAGCTCAGCAGCTAAAGGCTGGATGGGATGCAAATGTTAGGGGGGGACCATCATCATTATAGCGTAATACCCCATGAAATGGCAGGATCATTACAGTCTATGGAAGGATCATTATTGTCTATGAGTTTTATGAGGTTCTGGGTAATGACAGGGAAGCACAATAAAAAGGAAAAGAGGCACGTGTGCGCGTACGCTCTCGAAAACTCCTCGTCAAGGCTCTGTGATCAGCCACTCAACCTTTACATTGAACCTGTGCTGTTTGTTTCGAGACGGCTTACTTCCCGGCGGGAACCCCGTCATAATATTACAGGCCTACAGTTTTAATTGGAACTGTCAAAGTTTAATTAATGTGGATGATTCTTGAAACACAAAACATAAACAACCTGATTCCCATTAAAATACGAACACTGCAATTTTATGTTTTTATGTGTGCTTTCTTTTCTTTAGAAACTGAAAAATAAACAGGCCAGCTGAAGAAAGTGAAGAGTCAACTGAAAGTAATGCATGTGTTTTACAAAAGTGGCTCAGCACATGTTTTTACTTCTTAACGAAATGTAGCTTTCTGCGGCAGAGAAAGTATTTATTTAAGTGTTTTTCCTGGTTTAATACACCAATACTGCAATTTTTCTGTTCAAATTTATTTTTACTTTTGTAAAATGCTGTAAACAGTTGAATAAAAATGGCTTGAAATAATTAAAAGCACTTGAAGGATACAGTGCTTAGCAAAAGTATTCACACCCTTTGAACGTTTTCAGGTTTTGTCAGGTTACAGCCACTAACTTCAGTGTATGGTACTGGGATTTTATGTGAAAGACCAACACAAATTGATGAGTAATTGTGAATTAGAAGGAAATGATTAATAGTTTTTAATATTTGTCTAAAAATGTGAAAAGTGTGGCATGCATTTGTGTTCAGTTCCTGAGTCAATATTTCATAGAACCAATTTTCACCTCAGTTACAGTGGGAAGTCTTTTGGAGGTTTGTCTCTCTCAGCTTTGTACGTGTCAAAACTGAAATGTTTGTCTGTTGTTTGGAAAATAGTTAAAGCTCAGCCAGATGGGAAAGACGGCTTCCTAGAACACCAATTTACAGGTCTTGCCACAGATTCTGTGTATGTTTCTAAACCGTTGTCATCTTCCGCTTTATCCGGGACCGGGTCGCGGGGCAGCAGACTCAGCAGAGACACCCAGACGTCCCTCTCCCCAGACACCTCCTCCAGCTCCTCCGGGGGGAGCCCAAGGCGTTCCCAGGCCAGCCGAGAGACATAGTCCCTCCAGCGTGTCCTGG